ATGTATGGGTGTTAACGTCTTTGAAATGGGTTTTAATGTCTCTACTAACTGCAAGCATCAGGTTTGTTACAGAGCCCAGCCAGCCTGACTCCTCAAACAGACAAGTGGATCTGCACAAACCYGAGTTTCTGAACTTTGGGGTAAAATGGCAAGTCCAAGGGGGAATCTGTGGTAGGCGGTTCTGGAAGGCTGTACCATCCTAGTACCTCAACCAATGGGGAAAGTAAGAGGGCAACATGTGGCTGGGAATTAAGGATAAAAGGGGAGTGCGCCCTCAGAAAGAGAGAGAGAGAAAATGCCATGGGCATGTGCCTCAGTGAACTCTCTCCCTTTATTCGAATAAAATTTCAGGACTCTTCCATCTTCTTGATAAGACTCCAGCTTTTCATAGCATTATTTTCCATACAAGATGCCCTGTATATAGGGCAGTGATACATTGGGTGTCACCACACCAGAGCCATTTGTCATTGCAGTACCCAYAGGCCTGCAGAGAGGGAGGGTTGGGCCAGCTCTGAATGGCAACTGCTGCTTCCCAGTAGCTTGAAGGAAGGAGAGCTGAAACACTACATGTGTGTCTTTTAGAAAAATAACAAAGATATCTCTGTTTGTCAGAAGAGTCTGGGTTGGCCCCAAGATATAATGGGAGAAAATAAATCCTCTCCCCAAARGAGACAGCCCCCAAAAAGTCTTTTYCAMGAATATCCAAAATCTCCCTAATCTCAYCCACCAGACCACCTTGAGGTTGAAAAAGTCAGCCTGTCTCAAAGCAGCTTKTTGAGGGCACTTTGGTACAGAAAAGGCAGTAATGGCAAAGCTGCCCTTGGCAGTTGTCTCCCAGTTCCCTATGCTGGAGCAGGAAGCTCCACAGGGACAGCAGTGATAAYATTTCACCTGAGCCTGCAGACACAAGAAACACCAGGAATTGAATTCTGCTATCACTGGTTCACTTACCTGGTGGGATAGACTGGCTAGACAGGGAGATTGCAYAAGACATTAAGGTCGTTCTGATTTCCTCCTGCTATTCCTGGCTTAAAGGTCAGAGATGGGGGAGTAACCTAGAGGAAACCCCCTTTTTTTTGCAGATCCAGCCTTTGCTGAGTGAAACAGCCCKTGTTCTGATGCTGCCAGTGCTGAGCAGCACCACACTGCTCACTTTGTGACTGCCTTGTTTCTGGAGTAGGAAGCGGAGAGAAGCATTGATTCCTTCTCCCTTTTTCCTGAGCAGGTGTGAACCTGTTCAAACACAGCTAAGCCAAGCAGAGATCTCAAACAGGTAGGGCAGGTCCAGGAAATTTATGGAAAGAAATGAATTAAAGAAAAACAGGCTGTGAATGCTCAGCTTCAGCACAGAGAGCAGCTGGAGCAGGACCTTGGCAGAGAAAAGCCCCCTGAAGGTCTCGAGAGGCTCTGTGATTTACRTGGCAGTCTGAGGCTGGCAAGGCTGAGTCTCCATGGAGAAGAGGGCTGGCAAGAATGGAGTGAGAAGCCAGAAGTAGGACTAAGGTGTTGAAGACACCTGGATGCACTCTGAGCTGGAGAGAGAATCTGATGGCAAGGGGAGCACAGCAAGGGCCATGTAGGTGGGAGGGCTTGAGGCCCAAGTAACTTCTGCCATCTTCATTCAAAGCCAACTCAGAGCTAAAGGGAGTCACACCTGACACGTGGCACAAGGAGGTGTCTGTGGCGCAGAGACATCCATAACATRGGTATTCTCACAATCTGAGCACCTGGACAGTGGTTCAACACCTTTCCTGGCCATCACCCTTTTCCAGCAGGCTTGCTCCCTGACACTCACTCCTCTCAGCATCATGAGCATGCGACCAGGATGGGGACCCTGGAGRTGCTGGCACGTGGCTGCTCAGAGCCCCTTGAACAAGATGTGGTAGCAGTGACATGGGAATCATGACACCAGGGCTTTGCAGTCTGCTTTGTTTCAGCACACTCTCTGGTTGAGGGGGTTTGCAGAAGAGCAAGTAGGATTAACATGTTGCTGCATCTAACAGACACAGCAAATTTCCCTGTAGAGAAACTCACTCTTACCAATGCCAGCGCATAATAAATTTGCAAAAGATAAGATCCAAATCCTGTTTCTCTCACTTTTGTCAAAGCTGGTGGGTTTTTCCGTTCTTTTTTCATGTCTGTGGTTCAATTGGACTCCTACCCCAGCTCCTGCTGGGGGATGGCCACTGGTGCCTTATCAGCCACAATGCTGGGATGGTGGGATTTAATTCCCTCTGTCAGCATTTATTTCCCCCATGACACCAGACAAGTATACCACACAGGACTCCTCAGTGCTGGTGCGCTATATCCCCCTCCTGTAAGGATGCTGCATTGACTGACACTTCTTGGGTGTGTTTGCAAAGGTGGAAGTAAGAGCAAATGCCACCKTTGGGATTTTCCTTGCCCCTGTTCACTAATCACATTGGCTCTGAAGTCTTTAGGAATTGTGCTGTTTTTGGCTGAGGTATAGTTAATTTTCTTCACTGTAACTGTTGGGAGAATAGGTTGCAGATTTGTGCTGAAAACGGGGTTGATAATATGGAGATATTTTTCTTATTGCTAAGTGGTGCTTATACAGACCCAAGGTCTTTTCTGCTTCTCATCCCACCCYAGCAGGGAGGGTGATKGGGGTGCAWAAGGAGTTGGGGAGATACACAGACCCCAAAGGATCCAGTGGGGATTCTGGACCCTATCACATCATGTTCAGTAGATAAAGCGGGGGAAGAAGGAGGAAGGCTTTGGCGTTTGTCGCGGTTCCTCCTCCGCAGGGGACGGTAGCGCTTTCCCCGCGAAGGGCCCGGGACCCAGCGCGACTCGCGGGCCGGAGGCGGGACGGGCGCTGCGTGCAACTCAAATTGCCGTGCTCCCTCTCAGCCAATGGCCGGAGCGCCTGCCTGCCACCAGCCAATGGGAGCACGCCGCTTCYCGCCGCCAGCCAATAGGCGCGCAGGGGCGGGGCTTGGAGTAACGATCGSAGCCTTGGCGATGGCCCCAGAACGTGGTGATCGCTCGCTCCCCGCCGGTACCGAGGGGCTTCCCCGGGTTTTCCTGCAGAGCCTGCGGACTCTTTTCGATATCCTGGATGAYCGGCGGCGGGGTTACGTGCACCTACGGGAGATCGAGTCGCGCTGGCGGGGAGCGGAAGCCCGGGAGCTGCCCGCCGGGGTGATGGARGGGTTGCGGCAGGCGGCGCCGGCCAGCGGTTACCTCACCTTCGAGAGGTTCGTCCTGGGGCTGCGGGCGGCCCTGCCTGGGGCTGAGCCCCCGGGGGARTGTGGCAGCGGCGGGCGACGGAGCGTGGAGAAGCCGCCGAGCCCTCGCTGTTCCGAGGAGCGGCGGGGAAAGAGCAGCGGGCAGCGGGAACCGGGGCACGGGCAGCCCCGAGGCCGCGGTGAGTGGCAGGACTGGACTCGGGGCTTGGGGCTCGGAGGGTGGTGGCAGCACCGGTGCCGGAGAGTGGCGCTCGGAGTGGGATCCCGCGACTCGCCCCGTTCCCCTGCGCACTTGTCTGGGCTCAGAGCCAGCGGTTCCTCTAGAGCCGGTGTAAAAATCATCCAAAGTTACTGTTAGTCCCAGTTTGGCTTCGCTGAGCTCCGATCCCGGTGCGGGTRTTCCGGCGCCGGCGCCCAGGGCTGTGCTCTCCTCGCGATGCGCTAGGCTATTTATAGCGCTGACCGGAGGAATTAAGGGCTTTCCCTTAATGTGTCCCCTGGCAGAGTGTGTCCTGACCTTCCCCGGGGATTGGTGTCCCAGCTGGGCGTCTCGGAGAGCGGCTGAGCCCTGGGGAGCCCCGAAGCCCAGCAGCTCYGCTGGGGTGAGGCTGCGGTCACGGAGCGGTTGTGAGCCTGCTGAGCTCTGCGCATATGTGGCCTTCAGGAATTACTACTTCACGATGTCATGTGTGGTTTGGACAAATAAAAATTGCAAATCCAGATCCAGCTTTTTGGTTTGGATCATTCCACAGTGCTATTCCCAATAATTAATAATTAATAATTAATCAATGAATAAAAGGGAGAGCAGCACCAGGGCAATGTGCTCTGCTGTCCCAGGCTCTGTCTGCAGAGCTTACCTGCAGATCCCTGTCGACTYTCTCCTTTTCTCAGGATGTAGGGGTCCCTGTGCTGGCTCTGCCAGAGCCCTTCAGGGTAGTRTGCTAAGCTTGGTATGGGGGAGACCGTTTCACTGGCATCTTGATTTGTTGCTAGTCACTAGAAGACATAAGGAAACCAGGCCTCTGGGCTTGTCTGGGTAAATARTAATTCTTTACCTAGGTTTGTGAAGTGCTTTGAGATCAGAGGAGACAAAGTCTGTCTGAGGAGCTGGTGCTTGTTATTGCACCACTTGAGTAGAATTACTTCCTCCAGCTTGGGAAGGTCTGGCTGGTTTGCCTTCCCTTCCCAACCATTCCCTCTGAGTCCCTTCTGCTGGGTGGAGAAGAGCCTTTAACTGTGGCTGAGGGTATTGTCTTTCCATTTAGCCTCCAAACTAATCACTGGAGCTTCATCTAAGGRAATATTATTAAGAGACTAACTCTTCTGTCATCAAGGGTGTAAATCTGGAAAAACCTGGAAAAAATCCTRCTTAGTGAATAGGTAGCAGATTAAAATCTCTACCCTGGGAAGGAGCAAACAGATAACTGCATCAGCTTTCTGCTTGCTGAGGATCTTTGCGTTACAGGGTGATGTTCCATAACTGTCCAGAGCTGGCAGGCAGAGTTAGTGCCTCAGCCATTGCTGCAAGCATCCCACACTTCAGGTCTGTATTCTGGCAAGTGGCCTGCATTTCAGGTACATTCAGCAGCTTAGAAAATGGTAGAACTCGCTTACTCCATCTCTTTAAGCTCTGGGTCCTGAATAACTGCCCAGTGCTCCCTTCCACAGTTGGTTTCCCAGGGTGTGGTGTGCAGATGGGTGTTCTCCTCATCTGACTGCAAGGAAKTTGGGCTGTGGCAGGATAGAGTTCCATCCCTGCTGCAGAGATGTATGGTGGGGTGCTGCCTGTGGCTCTAGAAAGACCTGTCTTCACTAAGATAATATTGGTTGAGTATGAGGCTGCTCTGACCCTCCAGCTGCATGTGGTGGCTTCTGTAAGAACCCAACCAAGTGCAGTGAGATGATCTATCAGTGCTCATTAGCTGCAATGAGTTGGAAAAAATGCTCCCTTCCTGTGTTTGGGTGAAGGGGATACCTCCCCAGCTCTGCTTTATGGTCTGAGGAGCATCTCATATGTCAGAGGTGATTTGGAGATGACTCATGGCAAAATGGCAGCGATTGGGGCTAGGTGGTTCTCCTGGAATATGCAGCAGTGCAGTGAGCCATTGGGACATCAGTTCTGTCCCCTCTCCCACACTAACCTCTGCTAGCACRTGGGCAGAAGTGCTTCTGAAGTCCCTGCTTAAGTCAACTTCCAGCTTCTTCTCAGCCAGCAGTGCTGGGACAGTGTGCACACTGCTGCTYGGAACCCCATGGTCCCTGGGGAGCCAATGGCACCCACTGGACACAAGGATGGTAAAGTGGATATTGGAGAAGTCACAGGGCAGGGAAGTCACCATAATGATGTCCCTACCTCTGGTGCTGGGTGTCTTGTCACAGCAGCATCTGAGCATATCGCTCTTGGGGGTCTTTACCCAAGTAGTTCCCCTGTGAGCTGAGACCTGGGGAAGTCAAGGCATAGAGCACGAAGAGGCCAAAATGAGTGTGATGGCCCAGGGCATCTGCTCCTCCACAGTACAGTGCTTGCCCTTGCTCCAGGGGTGGCTTGGCTGCCTGGAGAGCTGGTGGCACTGGCATGGGGAGGATGGTTTGTAGGGGCTTGTCTGGGCCATTGCCAAGGACAGATGTGGAAAAGTGTTAGACAACTGTAAGGTGTCTATTTGTCCTGGGCAGAGAGGGTCCCAGAGGGAGGAGCCCGTCCATCATCTCATGACAGGATCTCTTCCACCTCAGGTGATCTGGTCCTGTTCTTTCCCTAAGAAGAGCTATCCCAGCTCGYTAACAAGGGTCCTGTTTTAGTCACTACCTTTTCAGCTCTGGTGTGCAGAGCTCCTGCTTATCACAGGTTCAGCTCAACTCAACCCAGCACTTCTAGGTAACTGCAGCAACAAGTTTTTTAACATGTGTTTGTCCTGCAGCTCCTACCAGAAGTGCTCCTGGCTTTTYCTTGGAATTCTGACTGTTGACAATATCCTTGGGTTTGGGGCTGTTCCTCAGCTTCTCAAGCAGGATGTACTACAGGTCTGCTAGGACATGTGTGTGATCACACCAGTCTTACTGGGTTCCTCCCAGATAGATTTGGGTGTATGAACCAAAGGGAGCTGGCAAAGCAGAGGGATGGGCGATATCAAAGACTTCATGTTCACAAAGACTTTATGCATATTAATGTGCTAGAGTGTCTGTGCCAGAGTACTTGCTGGGAGGTGGAGTGAGATACTGTGATGGACCAGAAGGAGGAATTTTCCCATGGCATGGTAGCTTCTTCACCCTGTGCACAAAGTGACAAACTGAGGCATTACATTGCCTGCTGCCCCCTGAGCTTGTCTCCTGTCATTGAACCCATGTGACTGTGGCAGCACAGGCAGCTCTGGTACAGGGCTCCCACACCTCATACCTTCAAGATGAAGGGTGGCACACATGGCCATGGCTGCCCTTTCCTGCCTCATCTTTCCTGTGTCATGTCCAWGTGCTCACCTGAGGAAACTCGTGAAGCAGAGAGAAGAAACACGCCAGCCCGTGTGATGCCACACACCCTGTCCTGGCACTCACAGCCCTTCATGTGCCTGCAGCAGGGAATGTGCCAGACCTGTGCCAGGCAGYTCTGCTAGAAGGATGTATGAGGGTTGGGGGTGCCTGGCACAAGCGTGGAGAGTTGTCCTGGGAAAGAGGGTGTTCCCCCAGCTGCCTGCCATCACTTGCCAGCTCCCTGCTGCTCTTCTTGAAAAGCCGGGTTGGGAAAGAAGCTCTTGAGGAAACCTGTGTGCAGGGAGCAGGTGAGCTGTGGGACTGAGGGGGTGGTATGAGACAGGGTGTGCTGGACATTTGACTGGGGACGGGGGTAGGAAGGGAGGAGCAGCAGGCTGCTGCCCAGACAAGCCTGGGGATGTGCTTCTGGCTTCACCCATGGCTGTCCTGATGCTACGATTTGAGGTGTCAGGGTGCTGCTCTATCAACTCAGCTAGCAGTCACCTTGGCTGTGGCTGCAGGGCTGGGTTTCTGGTGAAGGTGGGCAGTGTGGGGCTTGTATGGACTTCACTGCAGGTGCCCAGGAAATTCCTGCCCTGGCTGACAGGCAGGAGGTGCCTGATCCAGCCTGGAACCTGCCAGTATGAACTTAATCTTCAAAAATAGGTTATGCATGGATTTGTGTCAGCACCATGTGTTTGTAGTASATTAGTCTTTTGCAGGATAGGATGTTGGGGTTTTAATAAAATTTTGGAAAATCTACAGCCTGATTTACTCTCTGGTTACAWCATAGACATGGGGTCTGGGGTGGATGTCCACATGGCCAAGTCCATCACCAAGCAGGAGCTTCCTTCTGGAGAASGTGGGTTCTTGGCAGAGCTGATGCCACCTGTGTGGAAGCTTTGTGTCCTATGAGGACACATGAGAGCAGGCAATATCACTGGTGGTTTAGTTGTCACTGCTGGGACTGGACCAGCTTTGCCTGGAAGCTGCTTGCTCTCTGCAGAAGATGACATTGAGGTCTGTTGCCTGCCTGGCACAGCTGAGTCAGCCATTCCTGTGCCACCTGTGCCACCCGGGCAAAGATGGGAGCAGGTGCTGGGGCTGGTGGTTTGCTCAGTCTCTCCCTCTTTGCAAGATGTCSCTGCAGATCGTCTCACAGAAGTGGCCCCAGGGAGTCCTCTGTTGAAAGGAGCTTGTGGCCTTATGCCTTCCTCTGTTGCAGGCGGTGATGCAAAGTCTGCTGGGCAGTCCCAGGGTGATGGTGGCCATGCAGGGGCTGGGGACGCTCGGAGGCATCAGAGAGGCCGTGCAGAGCACCGTAGACACACCATCACCAACGGCGTGGACTTCAGCATGGTAAGGGAGTGTCATGGGCTCCCATGAAGGGGAAGGTGGAATGCAGGGGTCCCTCACTGCTGACCCCATCTCTGGGCTTTGGCTTCCTCCCTGGCCACCCTGCACATGTGACTAGCGGGGCATCGGGCAAATCCTGATATTTTGGATATAAAGCTCTGTTGATGGATGTGGACATGCTGCCATTATTTCCAAGGTYCTTTCTGCTCTGAATTGTGCCAGACAGGGAGGAGGTGCATGTCTTCCCCCAGACTGGGGTCAGCCCATGAAGCCRTTGTGCTGGCTGCCTTCCCTGTGGGCAAAATCTTGGGAAGAGGAAGGCAAAGATGAAGTGTGGGAACAGGTGGCTCTCTGGGCCTTTAGAACACCCCATTGAGGGTCAGGTATGCTTTGTGCTGGCAAGCAGTGGGGCCAGGCTGTGTCCCCTCCTGGATGTTCTGTGTAGATTGAGGCTTTTTGCTCCTGAGAGACTTTTTACTGGCAAGGCAGAGAAATCCGCTTTGAATTTATCCAGGCAGCCCAGAATGGAGGGAGTCTAATCCCCTGTCTCTGCCGCTGAGTGGGCAGGCTTGGATCAAATTGCCTGGGTGAAGGGATCTCATTGCTCCCAGGTGGAATGGAATAGCTGCCTGGGCATGTTGCCCRCAGGCTCAAGCTAAATTGTCCCGGGCAGAGAGCCAGGACCAAGGCTGCAGGATGAGTGTTCGRTGGGACTGTCACCACTGCACTTCCACTTCTCACACCCTGGTGTCACCCTACTCCTAGAGYCCAACAGGCCTGACCAGTGGTGCCCAGCCTCTCGCTGGCCTTGGGGAGCACACCATACCCAATTACCAGCCTGGGGAGCTGCTGTTTGTGCTGGTAGTTTGCTGGGCTTGCAGCCATGTGAGGGGCAGGGGCCTCCAAAGCATCAGGAGAGGTTCTGGTGCCTCCAGCATTTTCTGGTTGACCAAAGTCCCTCTGTGGTGTCTGGAGAAGACTCTGGAGCCCAGCCTGTGTTGTGGGTGAAGGTCAGRCTGTGTTTTGGCAACGAAAACAGAGGCAGTGAGGCAGGAAGCTCCCCATGCCCTTGGGAGCTGGGGGAGCAGCCYGGTATGGAGAAGGGGAACGGGCCCAGGCTCACAGGGTGAGGGTGATGAACAGGTCACTGCATYAGTTACTCTGTTCCCCAGGGATGTCCCCTCATCCCTCTCCACCTCTCTGATTGCCTGTGGCAGCATGGTGCAAAGGGGCAGCAGGACAAAAGGTGGTAGTGGGATGGGGACCCTGTATCCCCTGTGAATGTGGGCTGAGTCCCCTGCTCTGCYGCCTCAGGTCCTGCTTGGCCAATTCCAAGGGGTTGTTCTGGGGGCAGGAGCCCCAGGCCCCCTCATAGCAGCTCTTCAGGCATAGCAAGACCCCTGCTGCTTTTCCTGGTGGTGCTGGGACCTGAGCAACTGGCAGAGAGTCTTTGCAGAGAGGTGTGCTATGCTATGCTCTTCTCAGCTTCATGTGCCTCCAGGGATGAGGCAGACTGAGGGCAGAGTGCTGGGGAAACAGGGCTGCAAATTTTCCCTGACTTCCAGTATGTACAATGAGCTAGACTCTCACTGCTCACTGAAATCCAAGTGTGTCTGTTCTGGGGCTGACACTCACATCCCAAAGAGAGCCGAGGGCAGCTGCAGGCACTGCTTCTGCTGCCTCACTGGGTAAATAGGCAAAGAAACTTGCACCTGCAACGGTGAGCAGGAGGGCAGAGGTGACTTGAGTGTCCTTCACGTACTTTGGTTGTTCTCCTGAAGTGGAGGTTTTCCTCCGAGTGTTTTTTTCCAAAGCTGCATCAGGCAGCAGCCATTATCCTGCTCCTCTGCAGCTTTTCATGGGGAAAGGGGCTGAGACATTCCTCCACACCTTACAAAGAAACCAACTCTTGGGACTTGACAAAGCCTTGGTGGGGAGTGGGTGACATCCCTGTGCTCTGTCCTGCAGCTGAAATACATGAAGGAGCTGGAACAGGAGAAGGATTTTCTGCTGCAGGGCCTGGAGCTTATAGACCGGGCTCGAGAGTGGTACCACCAGCAAATCCAGCTCATGCAGGAGCACCAGCGGCTCCTGGGGAAGAAGAGAACCAGTGCTGTGAGTCTGGGGCTTCTTCTGGCTGCTTGTGAATTTGGAGAACAGGGCTGGGACTGGAGGGAGCCCATGGTAACCTCCAACCTCTTCTTCCTCCCCATCCTGCAGGATTTTCCTGAAGGTGGCCAGAGCCACCTGGGGCGCCTGGTCCCCAAGCTGCAGGAGGTGAACCGCTGCCTGGGTGACCTTCTTTCCACTGCTGGCAAGGTGAGAACAGCACATTGGCAGCTTGAGGTTGTTTGGGTGATCTTAGGACCCATCTTTTCTCCCCCATGCTGGTGTCTAGGCTGACATTGGAGCTGTCAGAGTTTCCCCCAGCTCTGAGAATGGAATTTAGCTCCATGGGTAAAACAGGTGATGGGGGACAGCCAAGAGGACAGTACAGCTGGTCCTGAGCTGGGCTGGAGGATGCTGGAAGCATTTGGGGAAGTGAAGGAGATCCCTGAAAAGGTATAGCCATTGTCAAGGGAATAAGGAGCCCAGTCTCCTGAGGTGCTGAGTCAGCCACTTCAGAGCTGGCTGTCCTGCTGGACAGGAGCCAGGCACATTAGCAGAAATGCTTCCCCATTCTGCCTGGGGGGCTGGAGACCCTGTGATGGCCTGTGCTGGGATTTTAATCCTCTGCTGGGCTTCTCTGGCTTCTCTCAGTTCTCTGTGTGCCATGGAAACATCTTCTGGCCTTGAAGAAGGGGTGGGAAAGGCCACAGGGGAGGAGGCTCAGTATCTCATCTCTTCATCTCTCCAGACAGCAAACCCCTCAGCCCTGAGCAGGCTGGTCCCCGTGACATCCCCAGCCTCCACAGGCTCCCAGCAAGCCATCAACATGCTGAAGGAGCAGAATCGCCTTCTCACCAAGGTGAGCAGGGACACGGGTGGAGGAGATGCCCTTGGGGGTGCTGGGAAAGGAAGGGGGTAGGATGGGACCAGGGAAGGAATGACTAGCAGTGGGAAGTGTTCCTTCAGCTTGGCCAGACTTGGGCATCCCAGAGAAGGTGTGTGGGCTGCACTTGGAGAGCCTCTGGCACACAGTTGTGCCCAGCTGTCTCCAGCTGGGTGAGTCAGTGGCAGTCATGGGACATTCCTGACAGAGGGCAAAGACTGTGACAAATGCAGGTCACGATAGAGTGCAGAGGCTGTAGCTGGAGGCTGCCAGGGAGGTGATGACAGGGCCAGGCTCACTGCTGGAGTTCCCGGCCCAGCATGTGTCCACAAAGATCCTCTGGAGGCTTGAGCCCCTCTGTTCTGGAGCCAGGCTGGCACAGCTGGGGGTATTCACCTGGAGACCTTGGAGTCCCTACCAGGGCCTAAAGCGAGCTGGAGAGGAGATTTGGACGAGGGTCTGGAGTGACAGGACAAGGAGGAATGGCTTCCCACTGCCAAGGACAGYATTAGATGGAAAGCATTTCTTCTTGGTTGGTGTGGTGAGGTCCTGGCAGGGGTTGCCCAGAGAAGCTKTGGYTRCCCCATCCTTGAAAGTGTCCAAGAACAGGTAAGACAGGGCTTGGAGCAACCTGTTCTAGTGGAAGGTTGCCTGCACRTGGGGAGGGGCTGGSATGAGATGGACTTTRATRTCCTCCTAACCAAACCTACCCAAASCCTGTGATTCTGTAYTTACRTGCAACAYAGAAGTTGCTAACATTTTCCTTCTCTAACCAGCTTTTTCCTCCCATCTTCTGCAGGAGGTGACTGACAAGAGCGAGCGCATCACCCAGTTGGAGCAGGAGAAATCTGCCCTGATAAAGCAGCTCTTCGAGGCTCGCGCCCACAACAACCATGAGATGAGCCAGCTGGACTCCACCTTCATCTAGCACATGCTTCCCCATCCCCAAACTTCCCCAGGGGTTTCAAGGGACTCTTGTCCCAAATTCATCACACCTGCTGCTCCAGGTGTTGTGTCTCAAGGTCTGGGGCTGCTGGTGGCATCTCTGTGGGAGGAAGTGGGTATCCCTCTTGGGGAGCATCCCTGCCCTGCTGATGGCTTATCAGCCATACTGATCTCAAGCTGCTCCTTTTCTGTCTCTAGATGAGCTGCAGGGACTCTGTCCCCAGCCCTGTGACCCCTAGTGTGTGGGAGACATAGCTGCTGCCTGTGCTGCCTGTGTGGGGTGAGCTGCAGTGCCCTTGCTGACTTAGGCTGAATTTTGGCTGCSTAGTGGGAAAAAGTGATGCATCTTCAACACTCCAGCCAGCATCTCCAGGCAAGCCTGGCCCTTGGAGAGTGCCTGCTCCTGCTTGTAGTATTGCTGGAAGATGGGGCTGGAAATCCAAGGGGGCATGCCTGGCTTCTCTACTGCCTGTATTCTGCCTGCCAGAGACTGTCCTGGCCCTGTAGTGCCCAAACTGGTGGTCCTCATGGCAGCTGCTCTGTCCCATTTGTGCTAGTGATACCGTAGTTGCTGTTTACATGTCTGCAGGCTCCTGTAGGGAATAAGCCATAGACCCAGCCAAGGTAGGCTACACCTCTGAGCTGCTGTTTCGGGCTGTTGACAAGTTGAGACAAACACCTCATCCTTTACTTGGCTTGACCTGGCAAATGATGTCTGCCAGGATTAGATTTTTTCGTGATGACTGAAAAAGGAGAGGTAATGCATGGCCTGAGGATGCTCACRTCAGCCTGGCCTCACAGAGGGGCTTTAGAACTTGGTTTTGTATTTAACTGCGTGGGACAGAGCAGAAGCTGACAGGCTCTTCCCTGTGCACATCTCACATGGAGAAATGGCAGCTCTTCCTGGCCTGGTTGTGGATGCTGCTGCCCAGGATGACATCCTGACTGTGAGCTGCACTCCTCTGCAGGTCCCTTGAGGGGTGGTGGTGGTGGTCCAAGRTGGGTCCTATTAGATGGTGCATCTCAGGACTCCTGCTTCCCACCCAGCTCRGTGATGATGCTTGAGCTGAATGATATTTGATTGTGGCTTGGTATCCACGGTTCTTTCATTGGAGGTCCCTGTGAGCTCCATGTAGTGCAGCCTGGTCCTCTGTACCCCCAAGGCAAGGAGCTTTCTCTCTGGGGTTGTTTCATGCTCTGACTCTCCAGGCATGATGCTGTGGTGCTCAGCTGAGCAGTGCAGGAGGTGCTGGCTCTGCCCTGAGCTGACACATGCAGGCCAATTCTGTTCTCACTCCTGTTATCTGTCAGGATTCTGTCCCATCCACCTGTTCTCTTTGAGATTGATCCTGAGCTAAAGTTCACTTCAAGGCATTAATCCCTGCTCTACCCTTGTGCCTGCAGCTGGAGTAGGCATCAGCAGAGTGCCAGGGAGATGGTGGGGGAGGATGTGCAAGGCCATGSCTAGTCATGTCCCCTGTCTGCAGGAGCTGGGTGTTAGTCGTCCCCTGGGCATCAATGCCTGCCATCCTTTGATGGTGATGGTGATGCCTCCTCTGGTGTYCAGTGCCTGTTTTGCCTGAGGTTTAACTAAAACTGACCCTTTTTATGAGGGTCATTTGTCTGTAGGGATAATAAAGTGGGATGACATATTTAATTTATGCTTCTGTCTCTCTCCTTAAACCAGCCCATCTACTGCTGCCAGCCCTGAAGTCCCTGGCTGTCCTCTCCCTTGGGATGCAGGGGGAGCTGAAGTTGCAGTCTGGTGAGCACAAAGAGCCCTGGSTGTCTCTGCATCTGGACATGTTTCCATGTCCTTTCCCACCCGCCCTGAACTTTCCAGCAGCTGGGGATCCCTTGTCCCTTTCTGTGGGACAGGGTCTCAATGCCACCTACACTCCTTCCAGTGCTGTAGCCTCATCTGTCTGCTCCTCCAGATATGTGCTTGGGGTCTCACATTTYTCAGGCAGTGCTAGTACAATTCACAACCCCTTATTTGCTTTTAAGTGCCGTTTCTCAGAGCTGCAGCACAGTGGTGGCAGCAGTGGCTGSTGCTCTGCAGTGACTCCTTCCCACAGGGTCAGCCACAGGGGGACCTCAGTGGCATGGCTTGTGTCCCCCTGCCCTATGCTGAGATGGCAACACTCACCTAGGGTGAACCTGAGACTCTGCACTGATTGGGGGCCCCTCCTTTCCCAGGCTGTGGGGTGAACCCCGCWCCCTGCAGAGGCTGAACCTCCCCTGCTGGGAGCAGAGCCAAGAGGGAGACCTCATCCCATTTACTGGCAGCTGGCAGAGGGACCTCTGCCATGGCCTCCTTCAGATGCTGCTGAGGGCAGCCATGAGTTCCAGCGGGGGCAGGAAGAGGGCTGGTAATTGCCCTTGGTTCCCATTTCATGCCTTTGCTTGGGTGTGAAGTGCATGAGGGCTTCCAAAGGAAAAWGGGTGGTGGTTTCCACTCCAGGCTGCTCCACACAGAGCCAGGGCAGCTCTCTCTGTCCCAGCCCTGGCCAGCAGCACTGGCCCCCAGCCCTTTCTGTGAGGCTGCTGCAGGTTGTGGGGGAGCCCCAGCAGCGCCAGGGCCCTTTGGGATGGGTTCTCCTGGGAGCTGCAGGGCTTGCCTCAAGCTGTCTCTGGCCTGGCTACACTGTCCTAGGTCCCTGGTGGGCCTGACCCTCTGCTGTGTGTCTGGGCTGTGTCCAGTGTGTCACCCTTAACTGTGGGGGCTAGCTCAGGAGCCATGAGACCCTGTGTGGGATCAGGTCTGTAAATGATGTGTAATCTGGGACACCTCCATTCTCTTCAAGCTTTGTTCCTGCTAAAACTGSGTTTGCATAGATCTGTGGTGCCTCCAGGGCTCTGATAACTGCTGAAACTCACTGTGTGAGGCTGTGGTGACACTGGGGACAGCTGGAGCAGGGCTCTGCTGTCCCCAGACAGGGCAGCTCCTGCCAACCCACCTCACCTCCCTGCACCCCTCCATGCTGAAGRTTGTCACACCCAGGTACAACACCATGGGGTCAACATGCCTGTCTCTGGGCATCTGTGGTGGCTGCCAGGGTGACATTGCATGGGGGGTCTGCACTTCAGAGCCTGGAGCAGCTATTGGAGCTGAGTGAACCCTCTCATGAGCTCAGCCTGGAAGTGAACCTGGCTCATGGGCTGCCCAGGAATGCAGGATTTCATCCTCTGTGTCCTCAGCCATGCAATTTGGTAAGGATTCAGTTGCCCAGGGCTATCTATTCAGTTTCTCTCATCTCCTGCCCAGTCCATGCCCTTTATATGCCCTCTGAGCCTGGGCTCCATGCYTGGCTGCCCTTTAGAGAAGGCTGCTCTCCCAGCAGAGCAATTATCCCACATGCCAGCAGGAACAGCCACATCTTGGGCCCCTGACCCAAACATTCTGTCTTTTTTGCTTTTCTTCCCTGCCACACGTTCATCACTGCTGGATCACCACAGTCTCTGCAGCCCTGGCTCTGCAGCTCTCACACTCTCCACTGTCGTGCTGTTGTCATTGCAATTTCCTGGGAGGCAAACTGAGGATGTGATGRCCTGAAGAAGACCCTAGGTCCTGAGGATGGTTCTCGTTGGGGTGGGGAGCTGGGCCATGCCAGACTGACTGGACTGTGGAGGTGCCTGTTGCATCTCAGGCCTGCGAGCTGGTGCTGATCTCCCTGTGATCCCTCACTTAGGGTGTTCTCCTATCCCAGACCATTCCTGTGCCCTGTTACTGCAGCCTTGCCTRTATCCTGGGCTCTTGCTTGTATCCCAGATTCCAGAATGCGAGTGCTTTTCTCCCCTTGGTGGGGATAAGCTGCCTCCTGCCTTAGGAGCATCGCCTGGTGCTCCCTTTTCCTTCTCSCAGCCTGTGGCTGACATTGCTGAGAGCAAAGGCTCACTCCGAGGGAGAATGGAGAGGATCTGCCCTCCCCTCTGCAGGGTGTGGGTGCTGGCTGAGCCTCTGCTTAGCAGTGTGGTTCATTTCTGGGGGMCACTGCAGCATGGCTATGCCAGGGCCCCCCAACATTCCATCTTAAAGGGAATGGAGCACAGCCTCTAGGCTTTGCTTCAATGTCAGATCTGTGCCAGATGCAATGATTCACTGTGGCTGTGGTCCCAGCGTGGCGTGGGCGCTCACGCCTGCCTGCACAGCCACCCTGCTCTGTTCCAAGGTACAGCTGATTGAAGGCAGATGCTCCCTCCAGGAGACCCATGTGACCCATGTGTTCTGGAAGAGTGAGGCTTCCAGAATTCCTGCTGTACTCTGCAGCTGTGTGCCACAGGGACCATGACTTTAACTCCCCCGCATTACACAAAGAGGCAGCAGCACATGGCAGATATCCAGCCCTGGAAAAGCAGCTGTCAGGGAGCAGAGCAGGGGCTGAGGTCTCAGCCAGCACCCTGGGGAAATCACATGCATTGTGTGGGTTCCCTTAGACTCCAGGTGTCCCTTTGTGGGACACCAATGTGGCAATGGGTACAGACACTGGGTAGAGGTSACCCCATCTTCCTGCCCTGCCATTGGGACACCTCTGGTTGCTSCTCCTGGGAGATGGGATCATGCTCTGGGCAGGAACAGGCAAYTGAAGGGACAGCCTGCACCAGGTCTGGGCCACAGCCACATACCAGGGAGACATCAAAACCTACCCATGTAGAACCATGCTTTGATCTGCCCAGCCTCAGCTGGAGATGAGGGTACATGGACCATTGAATCAAAGAATCAGAATCCCAAATGCCTTTGAGTTGGAAGGGATCTTTAAGGACCATCTCATTCCACACCCTCCCAGGGGTAGAGACACCTTCCACTAGACCAGGCTGCTCCAAGACCTGTCCAGCCTGTGGCCTTCCAGGGATAAGGCAGCCACAGCTTCTCTGAGCAACCTCTGCCAAGGCCTCACCACCCTCACAGGGAAGAATTTCTTCCCAATATCCCACCTAACCCTGCCCCCTGGCCGTGGGAGGCCATTCCCCCTTGTCCTGTTACTCCAGACCCTTGTCCAAGTTCCCTCTCCATCTCTCCTGGAGCCATCTTAGGCCCTGGAAGGGGCTCTAAGGTCTCCCTGGAGCCTTCTCCAGACTGAAAAAGCCCAACTTATGCAACCTTTCTGCATAGGAGAAATGCTTCATCCCTCTAAACATCTTTGTGGCTCTCCTCCATGGACCAGCACCTCCCCAAAGCAGAAAGCCTGGACTATTCTGTAGGCACAAGCAGCCCAGCATGTCACTCCCCCATCCCACTGCTGTCTGACCCCCTGGACACAGGGTAGGGGAGACATGATTCCCACTTGCCCTGCAGCCAGATCCAGGGAACAGAACTGGGAATAACAAGTCTTTTTGCCCTGGAGCCTCTCCTGGGCACGTGCTCTCCTTTTACCCCTAAAGCACCCCTGCAATGACCTGAGAGACCCCACAAATGTGCTATGGGCAGCCAGGGACACCCCATGCTCAGACACATCCAGGCATACAGGTTTGGTTTATTTTGGCTACTGGAAACAACTCCTGCCTATGAAGGACATCTGGGAGTGTCTACAAGCCCAAGAAGACTCCAGATAGGGASAGGATGATGGTAGAAATGGCCCCTGGCCCTTTTCCTTGGGAGTGAAAAAAGTTTCCATTTTTATTATGGAATCTTCCTATCAATAACATGAGGGCAGGCACTGGGAATCCTGCAGCTGCCATGGGCAAAGGTCACAGCCACAGCTATGTCTTTGTGCCTACAGATGGGGACCCACAGGGCAGAGTGRCACAGCCCAGTGCAAGCAGGACATCCTAGCCTGAGACCCCCAAGTATGGGCTCTTTGCTGAAGATCACCAGCTCCCATGTGGTGCTGCTTACACTGAAAAAGAAACAGTCTTTTGTCCTATTAACTAAATCAAAAAACCCAAAAGACATGGCCTTGGCCCCCAATGTTTCCTTTAGCCCTAAAATATTTTGCACTGAGCTCAGTGGAGGCTTTTTGAACACTTTCCTTTTTTCTTTCTGCTGTATTTGGGGCCAGTTGAAATGGCAAAGCTGTTTCTCAGTAGAACATGGAGATCTGGCCCTGTCCTGGTACTCCTGGCATGAGTTCTGCTAGGCAGAAGCATCCGGTTCTTTGGGATCCTTCCAAAATCTCCATTAACTCTTAAAATCTTCCAAGACCTTCATTAGTTCTCAGGCTGAACCACTTTGTGGACAAGACCTTGTCCCACAGGCAGATCAACCACCCCACAGTGCCAGGCTGGGAAGCATCCCAGAGTCTGGGTCCATCCCCTGTGAGGGTTGTGCCCTGACCAGCTTGGAAAGGCCTCAGCTAGTTGGGCTCCTGCACTGATGCCAGTGCCTTCTCACTGGTGGCCATGTGGCTGGTGAGWGCCTGCAGCTGCTTCTCCATGCCAGGCTGCCAGACTTCTCCCATCAGAGGGATTTCTCCCAGGACAGAGGGATCCAGCACCCAGGCAGCATCCCTGGCACCCCTGCATCCAGGGCAGCTGGAGGCACGTGGCTGATTCTGGGGAGGTTCTTGGTGGGGTCTGCAGGAACAGTTTCACCCCTGCAGTGTCCCACACAYTGCATTGCCTGGACACCTGCACTTGTCAGCTCCCATTTTACTTCTCTGTCCCAAATCCTAAGGGGCTTTTCCCAGCTCAGCCATTTTTCACATTTTGCTCAGATGA